ACCTGATGTTTACGAACTGTGTTTTTCTTACAACTAAACTATCTACTGCTAACTTGTAGAAGCATTAACTTGAAATGGTTCAAATGCATTCACTCAATGTCTTCACCTTAGACCCTGAGTTTTAAAATTGTTTGTAAGTTTTCTTTCCGTTAATAATTTTAATTACTTGCAACTATATTCTATTGGTCGTAAGGTTCTATGGCAGCATCAGCAATTGAAATGTATATTAGAGAAGCATATTAATTTTGTAGACTTTCTAGTCAAACACTACTGGTCGAGCCAGAGCTCATGGTGAACTGTCATCGGAATTGCTTACTTCAAATGGTGTTTGTCAGGGTTATCTGCTTTTTTATTTATACTTAACTTTGTCATAGATATGTCTTTAGAAATAACACTTTCATTGTCTGACTTTTCAGATGTTGATCTTCTACCAGGATATTCACATGTTGACTTAGAATACGCAGATAATATAGATTTGTTTGAGAACAACGTTGACAAATGCAATCTTTTGACCAACTTAATCAGCAATGAGAGCAAGATTTAGGTGTGATGCAGTTGCAGCATGCAGTGTCCTAATCTAATACACTGTATGTAACGCACTAACCCCCTCCAACAAGCACTTTGAACGAGAAATGATATTGTGGAACCGAACAAAATGAATAAATACTCATATATATATATATATATATATATATACATATATATATATATATATATATATATATATATATATATATATATATATATATATATATATATATATATGCTACGCTATATCCGTATCATAAACAAAGAACGAGTTTAATACACAGAAGTTCTAATTTATGGACGTGAAACATGGTCATTAAGAATAGAGGGTATCACGGGTTACTATTGTCAATCATTGTATTTTTGGACCACCGAGTATACAATGCTTGAGTTGAGAATAGGGTGCTAGGTAAAGATGGCAAGTTGATTAATGAGGTAGTCAATCTTCATTAACTGAGGTGTTTAGAATATGTATTATGTATTCCCGATCACCGTCTACCTCAACGGATAATGTTTTCTGGTGTAAGAGTAGGCTATAGGAAAGCTGGGGACGGCCTAAATAAAACATGACATCAGTTCATAAAGTCACTGACAATTGGACTTAGCCATGTCAATAGGTGTAGACTACCTGGTTAGGGTCCATGTGATTATCATAACCAATGGTTAGAGACTTTGAATGACGTGGCTCAAAATCGCTTGTAATGGTGCAAGTGCATCCGTTCTTTGTCCTTCTTCGAATTGTGAGATTCCGAATTCCTCATAACTATTTTCGTGTTTCGTTTTCACTAATCTATATTTTCTTCTCGAATTATATCTTCGATGCGTAATCTTTCTCATTACCACTGATCCTGTTACTACCTCTACTGGTCTGGTATTCAGCTTGACAATTTCATCTCTCTGGCGCATGGGGACTTGACCATATCTAGGTACGAACCAAGTTGCCTTACTATGTAAGTTTAATTTTTTTAATTACGACTTATAAGACTCGCCCTCATTAGTTTAGTATCAATTTTCACAATATCATCTTACTTTGTTCTTTGGAGTGCGGGTAACTAGGAATGATGAGAACGTAATTCCACGTCCTACATTGCTGATAGCTGAGTGTGATTGAGAATTCACGCCTGAATGATACATATATATGTATATACATGCATCGGAAATCTTTAATTATTTCTTTCTAGAAGACAGACTGAAAATTTATAGGGCTAAATTTGGTTGAAAGACTCATTGACAGTGTTACAGTACAATGTGAAAGACAAAACTATACCAATTACAACTAGTTATGCACTTCAGAGAAAAATTCCTTCTCTACTAAAAACAGGATTGAAAAATTGTTTCGAATTAGTCTTTAAAGTATAACTAGTCAAAGCATTTATTTACTTTACTGAGGTAAAAAAAATATAAATAAGAATTTATAAGTTGTTAATGAATGTTACATTGAGCATAATCAGGTTCGAAGATGATTTGGAGAATTTATTGTTCACAGTAGTAAAGCTAACTGTAATATGTCAAAACTGTAATGTATCGCGAAATTCGTTTTCAAACAAAAAGGAAAAACGAGTGATCAGATTGTTTTTGTATAAGACAATACAAATGACTAATGGATATAATCATCTTAGTTATTTAATAAATCTTTAGCTATCTATATCATCTACAATATGCTACTCTTGAACTACCGAATCAGCATTATCGTATGAATAAGAAATATTCTTATTGGTAATGTTACGTTTCTGAGTGGGATTCTGATTGAGATATACGATAAATTTTAATTTAAAACACTATTTATTTATTTATGGCTTTATCCAATATTATATTTTGGTACAATATAGTATTCTCAGGATCTTCGAATACGAACGAGAACGAATCGGAACTCCAATAGACTGGAAATTTGTTTGGGATGCTAGATCCCCAGAGCTTACTTGGTAAACGTCTCATCTTCGTAATTCTATTATCGAAATTTGAATTCCTCATTTTTGAGCTAAAAGTGCCCACCTTTACCTTCAGTTTGTATCTGAGATATCATCGGTTCATTTCCTCTTTTAGTACGCTATTTTGTGACGTTTTTCAATGACATTTTCTGCTCTACATATATATACATGAGTTCAGGGCTTGTTCGTTCGTGCTTCCGACTGTTTGTGGAACATACAATTCCTCGGTTGAATCTGATCTTCTCCATCAAGTTAGCAGGGCTGAGGCGCAGTGGAATAGATTAGCCTAACTTGTTGTGCTGCTGACTTTCATTCCGTTTGCCGTTTTTAGATGATATCATAACTTGCTCAAACATAGAGAAATCTGACACAAAATTAAGTTTCAAAGTGAATAGTCTCTCAGAATGGCTTTACAATCTGAACAGAAGTCAAAAGGTGGAACGAAGCAACGGTATTTATTTTACTTGACTTAGTATTAGTAAACACTAACAATCAATTAAGACAAAAAGAATTATAGATTCACACAATTTAATGTACATAGTGCCTGTGTTGAAAGCTTAATAATTTCTTATCACTTTATTGTTAGGACAGAATGAACAAGAAATATAATTGATCAAATACCATTTATATACAAAATAAAGTAATACTATCGAGTTATTCATAACCTATAAATATTCAACGAATCAGCCGATCAGCATTCATTTGTGTAAAGGAAGGAAAAACTGTGTTATTTACAGAGATCAATCAGATTTAACCCAGCTAACAGTTGTCGACATTTATTTCATGATGAGGATGGATGAAAACAAGTGTATAAACGGACATTGTTCTCACCATAAAAACAGATAATCATTTTCTTTAACCCTAATAACAACGAAAACATATTTACGTCTATAGTGTACAGATTTTGCCAGAATTTTAATAGTATAATCAAGTATTAAAAAACTCAATATGTTCTTAAATATATCCAACTACTTATGAGTAGATAGAAAAATATAGTCGAAAAAAACATGGGTAAACGAACTCAACAGATTACGCGAGATTCCGTGGACTTGCTTTTTGTCTGTGAGCAATGTAGTAATAGAGATAAACTTAGGTGTACACCATCAAATGCTTTAATTATTAATCTAGGGATAAAGTATAGAATAAGTTGTCAACGTTTACTGCAGATGGCAATCGGTTCACAAAAAATATTTACTCTTCTTCCATATCTTAGTGAAATAGGATTTAAAAGGCAAGTAAACCAGTTGGAAGCTGATTACTGATCGAGGTTAACACGTTTTTTTCACAGAAAAAAATATGGTCAAATGACAAAAATAATGACATGGTTGTAAAGTTCCAGTGAGTAGAAAGTTATATTTTTGACATTTCGTGACTTGGTGTAAACCACTTCCTTACAGTAAATAAATAAATAAACGAATTAAATTAAAAAAGCGTAAATAGTATAAAAGAGACGAAACAAAATATTTTCGGGACAATCAAAATTAATTTGATCAAGGTGATTTGTTTATGTGAGACCTGTTTGTTTGCATTTATATGATAGTGGGTGTGACTCAGTAGCATCCATTAAATCATAAAACGTCAAAAATTTGGTTTTATTATTTATTTACTCATTTAAGCACACAAACATTGGTACAAGGAGGCACCGAATAGATATGTGCTACACTTCGCCATTCGATTTGCATGAGGGCTGGAATACTGTCCGGGCGCCAAGACCGAAGCAGACGCTTTTCTTAGGAGGCCAGTCCCCGAGCCTTTGACTTACAGGTCTAGTCCACAAGACAGTGGTGCAGCGTTAGGAGTAGTTCCATGATAGCCCGTGATCAACAATAGATTCATACGCTATTCTTTTACCACAAGATTCTGGAGCCTATGTACACCACTGATTTGGAGTCAGGGTTTCCCAACTCTCTTGAGTGGACCCTCCGTGTACACTAACTCGGTTAAAGCACCAGAAATTCGCTTTTCGTCTTCTGAATTTCGTAAGCAACACCCCCGCCATGAGAAGGAATTCCCTGACAGTGGCTGTATACGCGTGGACATGTGAGAGCATTTCGAGGAGAGCGAACTCTCCCCACCCTCGGTCGTACCAGAGCATTTGGGAGATATTACAAATATATCATTAATCCTACTATTAAAAATCTACCCCATCTTCAATCTATTAGAAATCAACAAGTCAAATCATGATAATGACATATTAGTCGAATGCTTAGATGATTAAGATACGGTTGGACGGTAAGTGAACTATATACTATGAATTGATTAGAAATTTAACAAAAAATACGGACCATGGGATTCTGGTACACTGAATGTAAAGTATTGTGTTAACAGAAAGTAAAAAAAACTGAGTTCGATTGTTTACCCAGGTGTATGGATGGGTGTATTAATAAGATGTCGTTAAACTAGGACAAAATATGTACAATTCTCTATACCTTAGCTCTCAAGGCTTGATGACAAACATCATATCTGCATTGCAACGTGTAAATCTCCAAAAAATAAAAGAGCTTAAGTAAAAAAAATAAAACAATTTTTTATAAACAAACTTACATAAATTATCTTTACAGAATTTATTTTTTTCAACTTGACATTCAATTATGATAACAGGATCAAGGCATAAATCATTTTGTTGATTGTTTGCATTAAATGAATATGCAAGTATTGAAATCTGTGAAAACGATAAGTTTCAAAATGGACATTTACTCGGCAAGAATGAATATTGGGTTGTAAAAGAAGAAGAAAAACAACAAAGACAACAGCTGAAAAACACGCACACATTACCATCTTGATATTTTGAACTATTGTAATTATACTATGAAGAACTTTTATATATTTCATTGCAGAACGATTAAACGCTTAAACTACTGTTTTTATACACGTCTATATGTAAGCTTTTCGTTTGACTTAGAAATTATCATCAGAATCAGACGGTACAACGTTGATTACTTTTTAGTGACCGATAAGGTTGTACAAAATTATGATTGATGTATACAAACTGTTTTGGATTTTATCAAAAGTCCAAGAAGAGAATTTTTTTAAATTCACTACAACATATGTCGATACCGAAAATGTAGGCAATCACATGTAATTTGTGTAGATATTTCACTCGGTTTGTTTTAGAAGATAAGACTTTGATCGCATATAAATTATTTTGAGTTAAGTTATCAGTTGTTAACCAGAATAAGATGTTACTCTTAATATTCACCAGACAATCTAATATAGAAAAATACAAACTAGCAGATTTTAGGCTTTTGTTAAAACTAATTTGTCATTAGAATGCTGCTTAAGTTGATATTCACTTTTAATTTTAAAATAATGTTTCGAGGGTTCTATAAATGTTGATATAGATCATTTGTGCAAGAACTTAAGTGTGAATTTGAATAAGTAGTTTCTCAATAGTTAGACTCCGAGTTTCTAAAAGACAATGAAAAAGAAAATTATTTTTGTAAAAGTCTCGGTGTCTAATATTGAAAAATAACTATTAAGTTGCCCTCGAAAATCTGATCTGAGCTTCTCTCCTGATGAAGTTATTCTTAATTTCAGTCCCTGAGATTTCTACAAATATTATATCCATGTTAATAAATCTTGTGTGTTTACAGATTGTCGACAAAATGAAAGGCAATAATGTGTACAGAAAGAGATAGTTTTGAAAATATCTAAAAGCAGATGACTTACATCACTCGATTTACAGTCATCTGGTAAAAGAGAAGAGTCTGTAATGAGCACAGCTCGGGCACACCAACTATGAAGGAAAACATAAAGTTAATTATGGGTATTGAATAACTAATAAAATTTGTGTAGAATAGTAGGATAAAAGTGGATGCTGTTAGGACGCACCGATAGTGATAATCAAAACTCCCATACGCAAGAGCCTAATCAACTACTGACTGGGAAGGCTAAGAGAGAAAAAGGAAGCCAATTAAACTAAACCGATTCATTAGCATAAGTATTCATTTACATATGTATCTACATTTTAAAAGTAAAATTATTAATTGGCCAATCACATTCACCTGTCATTGGGAGATTTTTGATTGATACAACGTAACATTCTCATTTGCCAACTTTTGATTGGCTCACTGTATCAGAAGGAAAACGTCAGACGTTGTCCTATGATGGCCGGTGACCGAATATAGGTCTGTACGTCATTCATTCTCTTCGGGTCCTGCAGTTCATGCATACAAATGGTTTGCAGTAAGGGTTTTCCAACTTTCCTAGATCGATTTTCCGTATGCATCAATCCTGTTTGGGCGCCAAAATGTCTATTTTCGTCCTTTCAATCTTGTAAAGAGCACTCTAATCAAGTGAGTTCATTGTGTAGGACTTCTCTGGCAGACCTTATAAAAGCATGACTGTACGAGAGCATTTGAAGAGAGAACTTCCACTACTCTCAGCCACACCACGCCATTGGGGGGGCAGTTTATCATAACAACAAACAGAACGAACAACACATATCTTAAATGTTATGCGGTATTATAAACTTTAGTTTCTAAAACTCACTGATTAATAAAATCACTAATCCAAGAATATGGCAAACATTCGGGACATAAAATAACACATTTTGTTCTTATTTTTTTACCATTAGATAAATAAACAATGAAATCATCATCATTATTATTCTTTGGCATTGATGACGATGACGAAGGGTCAGCTTCTGTTATTATCTGTCCATCTTTCATATTTGTGGTCATATTCTCAACGGATTGAGTTACTGAATCTATTTCTGAATTTATATATTCAATTTTTTCTACTTTACAACCAAGGCAAAATGTCGCACCGAAAACAGCTGACATTCTGAAAATAAAATATTATTATTTGTAAACACAGAGAGATAATACTATACATAGGAAATCGCACAGTACATCATACATTTTTATAAAAACTGAATAATTCATTATTCAAATATTCTTAATATACCCTTTAAATCGTAGAACAATAAGTTAAACAAAAGAGTTCTTTTGAAAAAGTTTATTTTCAAAGCTGTAAAAGTCTAGGCAAATCCAATTGAAAAATGTACTATCAGTACACCTATGTACCACCCTAACCCATTGATGTTACTATTGAATAAAAGACAATTTAGTACACTTGACCGATGCTGTGTGTATTTACCTCATCATGTACTCCTAGGGAGTCATGTATGCAGGGAGTTTAATAAGACAAATACTACCTGAGGGCCGAGACTAGAACAAACGGGACACTACCCAAAAACTGGGGCATTATTTAAGCTGAGAACAGCTGGCAGAAAGGTGAGTTATTATATCACAGCAACGTTTATGTTGAAAAATTTTTATCGGCATACATGGTAATCCTAGGAAAAGGCGTACTAAGCAGTATTTTTATACCATGAAGCGGATATAGTTTAAGATGACTTTCAGTGTCATCTACAGATGAGGAACACAAATTCATTTCAGTTAGCAATAAAACATAGCAAATAACACTGACCGACAGTATCCTTGAGTTAAATCTCCACAACCATACATTGGCCATAAAATTGGATATGGTCCAAATCGACCCATAGAGAATAACAATCGTCGGATTCTGAAAATGGCCTATTGAAAGTAAACAAAGATTTTAAAAAATATGTTCACACTTGTTAAACACAATGTTTTAAATGTGAGTTGGATTTATGCAACAGAAAAGACACCTAGTCACTAAGTTTCGTGTTAGTCAGACTTGTAAACAAGATAGTATTTGTGATTTTCGGGGAACTAAAACTTTGGATTTCATTTGAACTCATATTTATATCAAGACTTTATCACTGGGTTTTTCAGATAGCGAATGATCTCATACAGGACTGAAAATGTGATCAGTACTAAGAGCCAGACAACATGACATTGATTTCAGATATGAATATATACTTAAGGAAGTACAAAAACAGTAACGTAGTTCCTCAGTGGTAGGAAAACGCGAGTTATATTGCTGGTAAATAATTTCTAACCCTATAGGGATAAATCTTATTGTTATCACATTCCAGTATAATCAACAATAAAGCATTTCATGAAACCTCAAAACTCAGTGGAGTTTCTTATAAAGTATGATAAGATGAATTAGATTTAGAGTTTCCGGTGAACTTTTTATACAGCAAAATTAGGAACTGTAGTTTAACAGTTAAGACTTGTTTTTCAACAGCCGGGTATAGGGGTTTGGTTTAAATGAATAAATAGATAAGTGATTATTCCAGTTTTTCCACTGATTAGGAATCAGAGTTATATATAACAGCCTGTGTTGATTGAATTTAATGAAGTAGAACCTCAGAGCATAACTGATTCAACTGCTAAACGACGACAAAGTTATTGTCATAAGTAAACCAAATGCCATGTTCGATTGCCGCCCACGATGGTGTACTAAAAGTGGTTCACTAAAAATAGTTGATTGTCTCCAGTTGAAAAGCAGTGATACCATGGAAATTAAACTCTAATTGCTGGCGTTTGTACGTTTTATTTAAACCAACAGCTATATACCTCAAGTTGGTCAGTTCGAGTTCACACATTGAATTGCCGATTTTTGTCATAGTTGGAGTCTGAATTCGTAGATTAACTAGTATGGGTACACGTTATATAACTACTGCATACAATGAGAATAAACCACAGAAAAAAAACCATACCTAATATCTGTCTTTCATTCACTAGCTTAATCAATGGTTAATAATAGCTAAGCTCACTTAGTAATTGAGCTCGAACAACCTTTTATTTGTAGGTAGCAACGGTCACATATAAGAGCTACATGTTACACACCGTATAGAGAATTAAGCTTAGAAATTTTTTGTATGATCTTCTGGGAGGTAATGCTGCTGGTTAAACAGATGAGGTAATGAGTACATTAAAACCAAGTGACCTTTTTGGCGGAAACTGAAACAATCATGAAATGTAGTCGGTTAATATTACTCTACATCTTCAAAATGAAAAGTATTTTGAGGTTATCACTACAATTCTTTAGAACAAAGTAGTCACATCATTTTTCCATCTAGTAAAATTATATTAACTGCTTGAAACAAATTGAATAAAAGATGATTGGTGAGACAGGCAATCGGAATTATTATTCATATAAATGATTTACTAATAAAAATACTGAGAAGGGAACAATCTAGAATCAGGATACTTGTGGTCTATAAATGACCAAAACAAGAGAGGAAGGTTATTGCCTTAAACAGACTTCAGAGCCAACAACCCTAAATGAAATCAGTTACCAAAACCAAATATCCACTGAAGAATGATAAAGTTGAGTATAGTGAAGCCTTGAAATAAGTATACTTCATATACTTCAGTAATTATTTCAGTTCCTACCTATCATATACATTGAAATAATAAATGATTGAATGAATACGTTACTGAAGAAAATTTTCCATTTGAACAGCACTACATAAATCAAAATTCCACAATATACATCAGCCGCCAATAAAATTTGTTACGTTACCTTAAGAAATCCATCACAATTAAATGTAGAGATTATAGAAACATTGTGAGAAAATGGCATTTTCACATTTTAAAATATCAGTAGTCGATGTTTTCATACAGGTAGACCAACAACAGTTGATCATTTTCACTGGCGTCAGATTTGATCAAATTTTTAAGAGGGAAACTCGTATGCCTATAAATTTACCGTTGGCAAACATAAGTAAACATTATCATGAATCCATTTCCAATTAAACTGAACAAAAACCACTTAAAAAAAGTCCACTCTCAATACACAATGTACCTCACCTCTTTAGTTTTAATCTGTTGATTACTGAATGATAGATTAGTTATTAATAACTGTTGGGTAAATTTATCAAGTTTACGTTTTTCAGTTAATAAATCTTGAAAAGGTCGATCTTCGTATGCTTAAGAGAATTCATTGTCATAGGAAAAAGGTAAGCAAAAAAAAGAAAAAATCGATGAGAAGCAAACAAATTAATCAAATGTACAAATATAAATACCCCAATTAATTATTGAATAACTATTATGATCAAAATGGAATAAATGCATTAAGCAAACTAATGACAACATACAGTTACATTTGTTAAAACTTTTAAATTAATTTTAAAATCTAATACGAATATTTAATAAGTAGACTGAAAGAATACGATATGTACAGTACAATAGTTACGTTCGCTTCAGATAGAATCAACAGAAATCCGTTTCTTAGTTAAGAGAAAAGTGTAATAAAGAGGATTCAAATCAAGAAGCCATAGTGGACCGACACTTTCAACAGAAAAATAAATGAAATAATGTTAAGAATGGAAGTGGCATATCATGTACAGAATAAATCTTTCACCACAATCAACATAAGTTAACTGTCAACATACTTATCCAGATAAAATGCTAAATGTATTTTACTTCCTCGTTTTTTGGTGTAAAATAGGTATAAATATGGAGTAGTTCTAAGGTAAGGAATGACAACTGATATATACGACTAATGAGTAAGAGAATAGTTCCTGAAAAGTTAGTAGCAAGAAAGGCTGTATTTACGATGAAGTCACCAACAAAAATGATGAAATATAGACATTTCTAACGAACAGTGGTTGATATATCAATCCTAGATAAGAATCTTCCGTGGGCTTTCATATAAGAAACCCAGTAATACTGCGGTGTGCTCTACCTATGTAAACATAAGTAGTATATAACGATAGTCAGGAATAAAATGTACTTCAGTAGAAGATCGAGAAGGAAAGAACGGGAACGGAAAGCACTTGGTATGAAAATGCAGGAACAATGAAATCTGAGATGATGGACTGATATTTGCAAAAGAAACAGTCAAGTTTGAGATAATGGATTGATATATTGCAAATTAAGTATTTACTGTAATGTTCTCAGATTTTAGTGAGATGTTCTGTAATTTCGGGTTCAAGTACATTCGATCGTCCCCACTCGTTTTCTTGTTCACTACAATACGAAAACCTAGCGAAACACTTCCTACACTGGTTTATACTGTCATAAACCGATAGACAGATCCGTCTACATAAAATGTTTCACAAGGAGGCACCGTGATAAAGTACCAAACATTAAACAGTAGTAAGGGAAATTTAGGTTATAAAGGCAACAGTAAAAAAGTCCACGTAGTTTTGACCCGGATGATTCAAGTAAACAATCGGTGATTTCATAAGTCAATGTCTGGTTACCGAAATAATGTTTTCCAGCTTTTGATTGTTCAACATTATAAACTTTAATATAAAATGGCTCCAAATGACTAAGAAATAAGTCAGTCTGCGCGAAATCAGAACTTTGCCGTATGACCTATTGATATTAATTATTACTATTCTACTCCTTAACACAACTTAGCTTAATCTCAAACCAGAGCACAAATGATCAAAGCTCTGGCAGTTTTCATGAACCCATATAGATGTTTTAGCATCTGTTGTAAAGTATACCTGGTATTCGGTAGGTATTTCAATATTCTATTGATGCTATAAATAGTTAGTTGTATGCCTTTTTAGGTATAAATATATGTGATATAACAGGAGTAACCACCACTATAATAGTTTGACACTTATTTTATAGACTACACGCTCCTTTTAATGGTGGAAAGTGTTAAGGTACATGTTATAAGTAGTTGAAAATACTAACTATTGAATAATATACTGCAACAAACCATTTAAATTGTAAATTCGAAGGATATTTAAGATTTCTACTTGCCATATATGGTGATTCAGCCTTTATTTTCATATTATTTAGGGAAAACATGAAGATGATTTTATCTTTTACAATGGTAGACATTGTGTGCAATAGATTTTAATTACTGGAAATACGACCAGGTTGTATCTTCTCATTAGTGTGGCTATTTGAACGACCCTACCGATCTTCCGCATATCTTGGATATCGCACGTATCTACATTAACTGTTACTGTGGTTGTCAGGATTCCTTCTGACAACCATTGGACATCGATTTCGTGACTTCCTAACAATCTCAGCTTCCTCGATGAGGCGTTATAACTCTTCAATATGAAGATTCATAACTTTCAGATAAGAGTTCAGATGGACTACGTGTAAATGACATTTATGTTTAGTGTTCTTTTAGTAAAATTTTTATTCGTTATGGGGTTACTAATCCTATACTTAATTTTCCTTTATCTCAATTTAGGACCAGTAGTAACTTTAGAAAAGGCTGGTTTCAGACGAAGTCCTTAGTCTTTATACTTCTTTAAATATTTTTTTTATTTTCAAGAAGTTTGCTTATTTACATTAGAAATGATGATGATGTGATTAATTGCAATCTCTGTAATATCTTGTACGTGTTTTCACACTATAATCAGTAACCTATGTAAAGAAAAGAAATATACATGAATTATGTTTACATGCGTGTTTATTGATATTTATATTAATAGAAATAAAAAAGAATGTACATTTGAATTTTCATTCACAGTTTCTAGTCTTGTCGACAGTGCAACAATAAAACATGTTGTTTTACATGTTGGTTCATACAAATATGAAATTTTTTTAAATCACCTATAAAATTCTAACAAATACTTTGTGTAAGAAGAATTATACTAACTAGCTGACATTATCATCAATTTACATATGGTACAACTTTGTTCTTATATGATTGACAAGTAAATGCCTTACACTATCTGTTTGATTAATTTTATAGGGCTCACTTTTCTGGCTGAACTTTGAAATGTTTGTCTTGAAGTTAGTCAGTCGTCAGTCAGCAGATATTATTTAATATGGTTGTCTGAAAAGCCATTAAAAATAAAGGGCAATTAGCCATTTTAACAAAGCTCACTCACTTTACATAAGTTTGTACCGATAACGTTCCGACCTTATGTTATTTCTGGTCATCACTAATTGCTATATCGGAATCGCTCATTACTCATACTTGTAAAACTAGGAACCACTGAAATTTCCACGACGCGAAGTAAGAACGTCAAGACTGGTACAAATGAAGATTTATTAATCTCACAGCACGAGGACGATCACCCTAATCGAAAATACACCCGTTGATATATTGATTGTACATCCATTTTGATTATTAATTAGGATGAAATTACTTATATGAAAAACACTTAGAGTTATAACAAACCATATGCCACATGTCATGCTGAGCATAGTTGAGGTAAATAAATACAAGAATTTAGTATCTTGAACAAACACCACACTCAAATAAATTAATGTTATACCAAATAAAATATCAGACTGGGAAACAAAACAAATACTATACTGAGTAACTATATCACATTGAATTGAACATCACAATGAGTAAAAGAATGTAATTTCGCTTTTTAATCCCGTCATATCAATATGAATTTAACATATATCAAAACATAATACCTATGCTTAAGAGCAAATAAATGCACAACATTAACTTACCACAATAATCTTCATCTTTTTCAGAATGTGTTGTACTGCATTGAGTATCATTAATGATTAAATGAAAACACCATTCGAAAAATGCACCTAACGATCTTTTTTGATGTAAACTTAATAAACGTGTTTTAAACACGTCAGAACGACAAACGGGAATCTAATAAAAAAATAAGATATGATATATCCATATACTCATTAATAATAAAACCACAAATCAATTGACAACAAAATAATTTACTAATGAAGAATTTGAAGATACTTTTTAGGGCAAACATCTAAATTCAAATAATACTAGAGAGCTAATTCAGTATCAAGGACCAAACAAAAGATCTTCAAGATCTAACAATGACAATGTTACTATAGGGATTATTCAGCCAAAATGAAACAATTTTCACTCTCTAGTATTTTATATTGTAGTTTTTTTGTGAGAGAACTATGCAATTAAAACTGTACAACCTCAACAACTTAAATAAAATGTAGACAGTGGAGATGATAACCTGCATATGAGTTTTTAATCATTTGAATAAATTCTAATCATAAAAAGTGTGCAAAAACCAGCTACACTATAAACTAACAAAAACAAACAGAAAATTTGTAGTCACTTACTTTGACTACATGACCCGTAAAATTCGTTGAGGAAGATTGATCATCAGCATTGTTTGAGACTGTTCCAGACTGTTGTGTGCACTGATTATTACCAATATAGGCTAACAGGCGTGATACAAAACGAAATTCTAAATATCTTGTTACATCAGCACGTTGAAGCGCAGTTACTACAGGACTGTGTGAATAAATTATCTGTAAACAAAGAGAGTAATCACAACAATGCATAAATTGACAATATAACTAAACAAATTCCTGATAATGATAAATACAAGTGAAAGATCACCTATTGCTTTGTGATATCTATTTTCATGATTGATTATTTATTCATTATCTTACAATTCTAAACATTTTGAATATTTGGTGTATACAAAATAGCACTGATGCCACGTTTTGGTTTGGCCGTCCCTAAATGTCTTCCAACCATCCCCAATACTGCTCAGCATTGTGCATCGTGGTGATTAGTGTTTAGACATACGTAACACGTGGCTCAACCATCTCAGTGGATGAAGATTTACAACCACATCAACTGATTTACCTGCGTCTAACTTCACTATTACTTACCCGGCGATCCAAGCAGATGCCAGCAATATTTTTAAAGCATCTATGAACAAATACTGGTACCTTACGAGTATCTTCAACTCTTAATGGCCACGTTTCACAGCCGTAAAGCAGAACACAACGAACAACCGCGCAGTATACTCATCCCTTAATTGAGAGGCGGATAACTTGCCTTCACCGCAGGTGACGTAAGTTGGCAAAAGCCAAACGAGCTTTTTGAATCCGTGTAGAGATTTCGTTAGACACCAACTCATTAGGGCTGAGCAAAATTCCAAGATAAGTGAAGTTGTCGACGCGTTCGACAACTTAAATTAACAATAATCCAACAGCTTAATGGATATAGTATAATACAGTTGCAAACTATGGTCAGTTTGAGACACCTTATCTAATATAATTATTTTAATAATGAAAAATGGAATCTTGATCACTAAATTAAAACGTTTTTTCTTAGAACGAATTCGTCAAAAATACTTACACCATTATATCAACCGAATCCATAAGATACATAATCCTGTAAGTGGTCTTTACAACTAACCTTTAAATGCTTTCACTTAACTGAGGCAAATCATTGTATGCACTCTGACAAGACTTTAGCAGGAAGAATATAATATTAAAATATCCAGAAAGCTAACCTATAGAACTATAATCACCATTACGTTACATGGAGGTTGAGTTGATATTTCACGTTAATTAAACCCTAAATAGATATCGACTATATGAATATTCGAATGATTGCTTTTGGACAATGTATAATTAATGAAATTCTTCAAAATTTAATAAACAGTGGAACTGATTATATTCCAACTGTACTGTTGTAGTTCACTCACACACCTATTAATTATAATTTAATTTCTATCAAGTAATTTTTCTTTCGATAGAAGACAGTTGTGTCTTTCAAAGGTGTAATCCATGATACAACTGAATGGCTAGGAATAAATTTTTTAGAAAAGTAAACTATGTTAAGGCTATAATATCCCTGAGGTTCAATAATGGGACAATAGTAGTGTAGTGAATGAAGAATTGGTGAGTAAAGCCGATTCACTGTTTTGTACACAATCACACAGTACCTCTGTAAAATATGAAAATCATACATTAAATACATAATTTGCACATCTTTCTTGAGTCGTCTTTTACATACTCGATTCTGCTGCTGTTGTCCTGTTTTCCTTCCTGTTCTCTTTATTTCAATCTTCTGCCAGTAAGCATTCCACTTCCAATTACTACCACATACTACTTATGTCTGTCCACATAAATAGTGCACATAATAGTAGTGATCGTAGAAGTGGAATTTTGATAGATTATGGTTTGCGACCTAGACTGATGACAAGACATAGGCTTAGGCTGTTATCTGATCTGGTAAGAAACATTATTTTTTTCCGCTGAAACTGCACAACTTTAACTGGTTTAGATCTATATTTCAACTATGGAATTATTCTAATAGTTGAGCCAATTAGTTTAGACCAATTATTTATATTCCATGTACTCAGTTTTGAGCCAAACATTTTTTCTCTAATAGCTAGTGATTACTTATTATTATTTATTTATTTGAACACATAAATATTGGTACAAGAGGGCACCAAATATATATGCGGCACACAAACAATGAAAATGGTAAGAGAAGGTAAGGAGCGTAAAAGAGAAACGAATAACAATAACAACCAGATTAGTGTATGGTAGTGTAATAATAATAATAATAATAATAATAATAATAATAATAATAATAATAATAATAATAATAATAATAATAATAATAATAATAATAATAATAATAATGGGGGAAACGTAAAGGTACAACCAGAAGGAGTCTTTCAGTTAAGGAAGATACAACCACTTTTTATGAAGAAATTAAGAAAGGTTATAGCAGGATCGCCACTGGCTTTTATTCTGAGCCATATCTGATAACGCCTCCAGCCACTGTGTCGCACCATCTCTAGGACCCCAGCCAGGGAGTCGTGAAGGACCAACAGAAGCTAGCCCTTTGCATCTTCCTTTCATTCCCCGCCACCATGTCATACACTGCCCGCCCAGTCCCAGAGTCGGCAAATAATGCACGACGAGGAATTCTCTGGGACGACATTCGTAGAACATGTCCTAGCCACCGAAGTAGGTGTTTCAAGATGGTGACACCAATCTCACTATCGTCTCTGTGACCGAACACTCGATGCCGAACCTCTGCATTACTGACATGGTGTTGCCACTGGATGCCAGCAATCCTTCGGAGACAGCGATGATCGAACACAGAGAGTCGTCTAACATCCTCAGCTCGGAGAGGCCAGGTTTCACAAGCATACAGCGAAAAACGGCTCGCCGACGCGTTGTAGATCCAACCTTTTACAGCCAGACTAGCATCACGAAGGCGCCAAAGATGGCCCAGATTGGCATAAGCCGCTCTGGCTTTCATTATACGTGAATTGATCTCATCACTCACGTCACCACTAGCACTTATAAAGCTACCTAGATACACGAACTTCTCGACTACTTCCATCTGCTCACCATCCAGAGTGAGTACAGGATTAGAATCCTGCCAGTCTTGTACAAGTACTTTTGAATTTGAATGTGCAAATCACATACCATACCTACGGACACTGATTGCCAACTGATTAAGTGCGGATTGCATGGCTTGAACATTCTCGCACAGTAAGACAATATCATCTGCACACTCAAGGTCGAGAAGTCTTTCTCCAGGCAACAGATCCACACCACCATTACTTACATCCATCAGAGCCGTTTCCAGAATGTCATCGATGGCAAAGTTGAAGAGGGATGGTGAGAGTGAGCAACCTTGCCTAATCCCACTGTTTGAATGAAACAATGCAGAGAGGTGGTTGTATGCCCTCACTCTGCCTGAGGTGTTTGTGTATAGGGCTTTTAGGATGTTAATAAACTTCTCAGGCACACCCTTCTTCAATAGACAATCCCAGAGAACAGTCCTATCCAACGAATCGAAGGCAGCCCTGATATCAAGAAACACTACGATTGTTGGCCTTTGATAAGTATGACGGTGTTCTGAAATTTGACGGAGGGTGAAGATATGATCAATACATCTTCAACCAGAACGAAAACCAGCCCGCTCTTCGCATGTCAATCTTTCTCGGGTTTTGAACAACCTACGAAGTATGACAGAAGCCAATAGCTTGGACGCAATCGGAAGTAGACTTATCCTCCGATAGTTGTTACAGGAACGACGTGAACCCTTGTTAAAGATAGGAACAACTATCGACTCATTCCATGACGTTGGTACACTCTCTAGTTCCCAGACCTTTGTAAACAACACAGTTAGTTCCCTAGCCAGAAAGTCACCACCATCGTTAAAAAAAGAGCCAGAGGTAAGTCATCTGAGCCCGGTGATTTGTAACGTTTCAAGAGTTGGAGTTCCTTGCGGAATTCCGCCTCATTTGATGGATCAGTCGTCACCGGCTATGGAGGGCAGGACAGTCTGACTGATGTTGCCGGAGCTGCACGCCAGTTGAACTGCCGTTCGAGGAATTCTGCCCATCGTCCGTCATCCTCGCGGATTGTTTCGCTCACACCAGACTTCTTGCTGCCAGTGGCTCGGATGAGTTGGAAGAGCTTCCGGTAATTACCAGATGCAGCTGCTGCTTCCATCTCATTAGCACGCTCCGACCACCAGGCTTTTCGGTCCTCACGCAAGCTTTGCCCAAGTTCATTACGTAACATCCTTCGTCTGTGGTCAAACTCACGGTCACCCAGAGTAGACCGACGGGCTTCAATCAGTTGTAAGGAACCAGAAGAAACCCGGTGCTTATTAGCGGGACGTTTCGCGAACCCACAACTGACTTGACCCGCCATTTTCATGGCGTCATGCAACTGCAACCAATGCTCATCTATACTTTTCGGTGGAATGGTAGCTAGCCTAGAAGCTAGCTCGATTCGGTACTTACTAGCAACAGAAGTTGCAGCCAGCTTGCTAACATCAATCCTTTGGTGGCAGTCACTTCGTTGTCCACTGAAAAGTAAGGTAAGATTGGCGCAGACCAGAGCATGATCAGATTCCAGATAGGTACTCCAAAAGGAGCGGCAGTCTTGTACACAACCACGCCAGCGGTAGCTGATCGCGATGTGATCAACCTGAGTCCAGGCTTGAGATGCGGCGTGAAGACACCAGGTGGCACATCGGCGATGACTGTGCCGAAAGTTAGTGCTAGCCAGAAACAGGTTGTGGTCTGTGCATAGTTGCAGTAGACGTTCCCCGTTATCTGTCCGGCGACCAACGAGGCCCCATCGGCCACCTAAACGACTCTCTTCTGTGCCTAGACGCTCGACCTGAGCATTCAAGTCTCCAGCTAGTACTACAATATCTGTCGAACGCACTTTCTGGAGAACAGTTAACTGGTGGTAGAACTCATCCTTGATTGTATCCGGGTTGCAATCTGTCGGGGCATAGACGGAGATGACGAAAAGACATCGTTTCTCACACCTATTTCTTCTCACTTTGATGGTGCTTTCTAATATAGCAGTACATAACCGACTGTTAATGAAGATCCAATCGATTAGTGCTGCCTCAGCTCTAGTGCTTAGTGCGACACCAACGCCAGCAAGACCAGACGAAGATGCCACAGGGTCCCCGGATAAGCGCGCATAAAACAAGCTTTTTGAAGCGACAGATGGAGAGCGAACTTGTAGTACTTCACCAGAGTCTTGAATACGGGTCTGGGATAGACAACACACGTCAATATTAAGACTTTCCAAAGACATAGCCAGCCCTATCTGTTGTTCGACCTGCATAAGTGTGTGGACGTTGAAGGCAGCCAGTTTGAATGATGCACATGGTTTCAGAAAAACTGCTTCAGTATTCGTATTCGGTGGTAGCACACAATTTTCAACCAGGCAGTGACTCGAGAACGTTTAGATAGAGCCGAATGTCTACCATAGGCGAGCTGCTGTATAAGTCGAAAAATAAGGATACATAAAGTGGGAATAAGAGAGTGAATAAATGACGTGGTAAAATAATAATAATAATAATAATAATAATAATAATAATTGTGAATGATGAATTGTCTGACTGTTAATCGAAGCGTGAATAGGATTTTCAGTAAATATCGTTATTTTTATTTTATTTGTGATAGTATTAGCCAATACAAACAAAAGTTGTTGGGACGGTATTCAACACGCAACACGGTTGTTGAAAGATGAGTGTCATCACTCATGTTTAGAGACACATAAATAAGTTTAGTCTAATTATTATGTTTCAAAGACATCAATATTAAAGGAAACCATGCCTTTCTGTGAGGTGAATGAGTAGTCACCTGTTGGGCGTTAACCAAGTGTTTTTTAATGAAGACATAGAATCGATTAAAAGAGTGTACATCGATCTTATATGCTCTTGTGAATTTAACTGAACGTTAAGAATAAATCAGATAGCATAGTGATTAGACAGTAAGATTTATCTGAGTTCATTCACATTGTACATATGTATAGGATTTAAACCGGTGATCTGAAAGTTGAAAGTCAAGTTCCTACACCAATAATCTAAGTCTAATTTATACTTAGAGATTTAATTACAACGACAATAACTGCTACCCTGACGTAGTGGTCGTGCTTGACAATTGTACTGACTTGATCGCACTATATTGGATGGAACACTTGTTCCTTTAGGTTTTATCATGACAGGGAGGTCAGTTGAAGAGAAGTAAGGGTAAAAGCAGTAAAATCGAGGTTTGAGAGTGAAGTCATACTGTTGACTGTTACGAAGTGTGATGGCAGCAGGGTGTTCCCCTTAAGCAACTAACATCTGCAAGGATGCTGACTTCCTACAGAAGGTTAGAAAATGTTGGGCCTACGAATAACACATTGCGTTGACCCAAGGTACGGAGCTAGCATATCTCAGACCACCAAAAAAAGTCTGAGTAACGAGACTCAAGCCATACTACAGGTTCAAACTCCGCCTAAATTACCATATTTTCACACCTAGGTGAGTATTACTGGTCCTCATATAATGTAACTTAGTGCTTGGTACATAAAATTATATTTAGAAAATGAGTTTATTAACATTTTCCTCACATTATAGTAGTTGCTCAAAAGTTAGAAATACTATCCGGTTGCCAAATACAAATTAGGGAAAGTAGAGTAGGTAACCCCCATTCGAATGCTTAAAGCACTGATTCAGCTTTACGTATGCTTTCAATGAACAATTCCCTTAACCGTAGTAAACAAAAACGTTACTGAAATTGATGAAAATACTAGGCTTAATAATTAACAGTTAATACACGTGTACTTAACAATAACATTGACATTACCTTTGGTACTATGTCTATATCATGTAGGCGCACAGCGTTTCGTAGTTTAGGCCGAGACCATAATTTTTGGCACTGAACAATCTTATCAGTGTCATCAGATTTTTGTTCGGTTACTGTAACAACATTTTCATGTCCATCCACATTGGATTTCTCTTGTTCTTCTCCAAGCTCGCGAATTACACTAGAAATCTCAGTGCTCATATGATCGTGTTGAACGATGATATCACTAGACAATGCCATTGTGCTTGGTGAATCATTAATAACTTTTCTGCTCACATTACTGTAATTTTCAGCATCATTATCATCATAGCAATCGAAACTCTCGTCACAGCTATCACAAATAGTAGTAATTAAAAAAAAAACAAGTAACAGAACGGATTCTTTGTATCACTACAAAATGTGTTAATATTGGCATTACACAATTAATTTACAACTTATGAGAACTTATCAGAAATCAACATGAGTTATCTCAGTGATGATGACTTTTTACATCGCTACACCTTGGTTCATATGAACTCAACAAATTATCTTCGGTTAGTTACCATCTCCCAATACCATTTTAGATTCTATTTTAATATATTTTTAGTAGGTATATCAGAATTTACTGATATATCGACAAAAATAAGTATATGAAAAATGTATTTTATTAGAAAAAAAAATTTAATCAGTAGAAAGCCGATGTTGCGTAATGGAAGTCTTCACACATCCGAATTCAAGGGTTTTGCGTTAAACTATATGGAATATTAAACCAAATAATAGATTTAAAATTAAAAAAACACCAAATAATACTCACCCTAGAAACCATTCTGATGACTTGTGAGTGACTAAAGGAGACTCAATCCCACTGAGATCTAAACATTTATCTTTAATGGTTGGAAGACTTTTGGGGCAGTCAGGTTCCTGACAAATCATAAGAGAGATATTTAAAGTAAGAACTAAACTTACAATTTGACTAAGAAGTTTCTCGAATTCAGGGAATCGTAAAGATGCAAGGACTCCGCCATAATAAGCATTTCTATGGTATGTTAACATACAAATCATGAGCCAAAATTACCTATCGATATGAAGGACTTGTTTCCCCAATATTGATAAACTTGCAGAGATTAGAGATTCACTTAAGCCTGGAATACGAAAGGAGTGATTTCCGTGAATCAGTACAAATTTCCAGTGAAGTTTTAGCCAAAGCCTTAGGCAACAAGACTATAATTTATGGAAGAATTATTCAGATTTAGGATAACAGGTCTTAGATTTTGGCGAGGAATTCGTCCGTCCATTTGGTTAAAGAAAATTTCGGCGTTTAAGCCTACACCAGCTAATAATGAAAATTCTAAACCCAACAACAGCCTTATTAAGTAGGTGGACATTCTAAAGGCCACTAGCATCACTCAAAGGTCGTCCGTAAATTATAGCCTCACCACTAAAAGATTGCGAGGAACTGAGTCTGATATGAGTTCCGTGATTCACATCATCTGTTAACAATCCACTTTTTGTAATAAGAAAAGAAAAGGACCTCGATGAATTTAGTCGGACCCATGGGCAGACTTTAAAACTAATATTCGTTTTTCCCCAACAAGCCATTAACTCAATAGTGACAACGGTAACAAGACTGATGACAGGCTAGTCTTTAGGAGTGAAGACTATTGTGCATACTTTGCAAACATGCATATCTGTTTTTAAAAAGGCATTGTCTTGTTGTTTTTTGGAAATAAAACATGGTGGCCAAGCTGTAGACAGAAAAGATATCCTACCAAAATTCTTTATTTATCGACTGCATCGAAACTTTTTCACACGACGAATAGGTACTACAAAAACCATTTACTTCTACTTAACAGTGTAACAAATCTTGTGATGATCTATAAATCATTTGGATGCAAGTAGAAGTCGGGAGAACGAAACCCGGAATATACAAATACAGTAGAATGCTTGGAAATAGGTATTAATAGCAAACGAAATGGTGATATAACGCCGATATAATAAACAAAGGTGTTAAATCTCCATAAAGTGCAGATGATAATAGCCATATGAAGAGGAAAGATTATTTAGCAAAATGCCAAACTAGTTTGACAAAACACAAAAAATATATGCAGAGGCTATTTAGCATTTAGACCGTGGTGAATATTAATAGTCAATGGTGTAACATTAGCACTTCCCATCATACCTGTACCGTCGATGACACAATCAACCCGCTCTGGGAAATCCATTCGAAAACGTTAACACCAATAACCTTGACAAAGGACACATCACAGTTGAAAGATTCAAAGTCCAGTTTGACATTTATTTTAGTAGTGACCTGCGAAATCATTTTCATTTAACTCTGACTATAGTCTCAGAGAACGCTCACTACTGAAGTATTAAGTTAGTAACAAATAATGACTCTGATTATTTATAGGTTGATTCGTTTTTTCACGGGAGACGGAAACTTGGAAATCAGATGTTTATTGCTACTGGGAAAATGAAAAGATTGCTTTATTTGACTAGAAATGCGGAAGGTGAACCGGAATGAAAGTGAAGTGTGTTTTAATGGCAAATGAACGCATAAAGTAAATAGTTCTGTAAGTCTTTAGCATTTGCAATAGCCCCATTATTTTGTGACACCAGTGGAATGTCACTTGGATTTTTCCAAATCTTCCAGCAATTGGGTTAACGAATACTGAACAGTTTGCTGATCCTCATCAAGGTCAAGGATGGGAGTGGCTCAGTTTTACTCCATGGACTGGCCCATGCAGGAGTGGTCGCACTTTCTTCATGTACCTATTCTTACAAAGCTTTTCTGTCGTAACGTTGTGTTAAAGCTATATAATAATAAACGTAACCACAGTACCTGATTACGTTGGAAAGGTAGTTCATGTAGAGCACTAACCGTGAGGTGTCATTTGGAAAAAAGCTGAGTGGTCGCGAAATCACCTTCCAACTCGCGACAGCCCAGAAAAATGAAAACAGGTCAGTAATGTTGGTGATCTACGAGTTTCGACGGTGATGATCGCCCAATCGTGCCAAAACATTACCGACACAACGCCTTCAATATGTTGCACAAACTTTCTCATTCGGGTGCTTGTGAAACCATTAAGCTTATAGCAGAACGGTTTTGCTGGCCTGGTATGAATAAAGAAGTGAGGAAGTGGGCACGCTCTTGTGTAGCCCGCCAGAAATCTAATTTTATTAGTCATAACAAATATCCCTTAGGCTCATTTAAAACTCCTAATGCTCTCTTCGATCACGTTCATTTGAATTTGGTTGGACTTTTACCAGATTCAAATGGATATTCTCATCTTTTAACCTGTGTAGACCGTTTTACTCGATGACCAGAAGCAGTAACCACCAAAGAGACTACTGCTGAAACAGTGGTCCGCGCCTTTGTCGAACGATGGGTAGCAAACTTCGGCTGCCCAACAACAATCACTACAAATCGTGGACGCCAGTTCGGATTTGAAATTTTTTGTTGTCTGACCACAATATTAGGAATCGCTCGATTCTGAACGACCGCCTACCACCCACAAGCAAACGGGTTAGTAGGACGCTTTCACCGACAACTAAAATCGTCACTATCAGCCGCAAACATTTCTCAGTGAACAGACCCTCTCCCACTCGTCTTACTAGGCATACGCAATGCAGTGAAAGCTGACATTGGACACACTGCGTCTCAAGTCGTTTATGGTACGACCCTTCGACTTCCAGGAGAATTCGTGGACCCTTCACCCTCTTTGATGAGCATGGATCTAACCTCCTACACGAACAGGCTTACAAACGCAATGAGTTCAGTCAAACCTGTTTCCACTCCACCGCAATCAACTGATGTTTTCGTCCAACCTGAATAAGGATATCGTACACACGTTTTTGTACGTCGAGAGTCACATCGACGACCTCTCAAATCAGCATACGAAGGACCCAAATACTATATAATCAATAAGAACGGAACCAACGATAGCATCAGCATCTATCGCCTCAAAGCAGCGTATTTAGAAGGAAATCCTATTCACGTCGATTTTCCTTCAGTACAATCGCACGAAACGACTTCTGTATTTATAATACCTCAACAGACAGCCTACAAACACGATGAAACTTCAGTGGTATCAGAAAATATACTTAAAACAACGTGTCCTGAAAGAAGAGTGAGATTTCCAGAACATTTGAACATTACTGCACGCAAGATACGAGTTTACATTTTTATCGCCTCGATTTTCCCTTGTATTATATATAAATGTAAAAAAACCAAATTTAATATGCTTATATATTTTTCTCAAAAAAAAAAAACAAAAAATACATTATAAAAATTCTTTTTTTACGCTATTACGTGAGCATGAGTTTATTTTCCATTTTTTCGCCCTCTTTGTGACTTTACGCGCGTACGAGTGTATTTCGACATGCACTTACATATTTTTTTTTCTTTTCCAGGACGGCTGGAAAAGAACGATGAAGTTTACGAGGAACCGAATTTTTCATTGTACTTTTTCTTTTTAACTATATTGTACTTCATGGTCCCTTTTAGTAATGAAAGACGACCAGACGCTGCTAAATCTAGCAAGCTAAAAGAAGAGTGTTTACCAACGTCAAACTCGTTGGGTTTAAACTTCTGGCTGCCCACGTTTTGGGGTCATCACTACCCCACTAGTGGGGGGAGTGATCTGTAACGTTAAATAAATCCCCAAAATAAATAGCTCTGTAAGTTTTCGACATCGGATGCTGACCACATTAGTTTTAATGGACTCATCTAGCTGAAGGCTCTCGGTCATGCATCCTCACCAGATCACATGTTGAACGCTGTGCTCAACACTTACAGCACTCGCTACGATTCATATTAGAAGGTGTTACTGGTTAAATCGTTATCAAACTCCGAATACCTGTAGCTTCTTACCTGCCAGCCTGAGACACTTGGTCAGACCGCAGCGTCAGATCATCATTTAGTACATCGTGTTAAGCATACTCCTCAACAGCTAGCTTATATTAAATTCTTCTCGACATATCGACTACTTATCAACGATATCTTCTAAATTCTTGATTCTAGGCTTCCGGTTTGATTTGGTTCTGTATCCTTGATTTTAAAGGTGTCACAGCCAACGAAAACGTCAAACCCAATATATCCATGAAATTTATTGCATTTTTGCTGGAGTACTGATTATGAACTGACACTGAGAAATAAAGAGGAAACGTAGTAAAGAATCAAAACTCAGCTTCCATACTTAGGGAAAATTTGACTAATTCCGTGGAAAACTGGAAGAAACTCAACGAAAGACCTAGAATCAATGATGGTCTGAGTTTTCACTCATATTTTACAGAATTTCAGTAAATGACATAGATTTCCAGAAAAGCCTCGATACTTTTACTATTTTGGGGAAATCACCAAAATTTACCCTCAGTTTAGGCAGAATATGCAAAACCTCAGTAAGTTAAATTTATTAATAACCCGAAGTATCTAGTGACTTCGGGAAAATTGAAGTTCTTAATTTTCAATAAATACCTCAAAATTAAAGATTACAATATAGTTCTTTTCTAAGTAGCTAACTGTTTGGTACTTTCTACAAAAATCTGTATCTAATATTCATTGCACAACGTATTCATCATAATATTTTTGAAACTAGACTTCATCAATTTTGTAACAGCAAGCCTCCGACTAAACAGTTTGACGTATTTGATTCATTGATCCTTACCTACAAATGACAGTCAAAATTCCCTTACGCATCGTCGTTTTTATTCAATTATAGAAATCTCATTTTAATATAGGACATAACTTTCATAGAAAAAGATGAAATATCAGCCTTCATAATGTCTTTGAACAATGGATAAGCCTGTGGAGATAAATAACTTTTCAAAATGAGTAGCTTCATGAGCATTTTGCACTGGTTGTTACTTTGTCAGTTCGAATAAATACCGAATGAGTAGATGAGCTCGTTAAAGCGTCCGCTTTAGATAGTTTCATCTTGATATGAGATACTTTTCTTATTGAAGCTAGCCAGCTGAAACGTCTCAGGTAACAGTGACTTCGTATACAACTAGCTACATATTTTACCACCCATCATCTACCACTTCTTTATTTGTCCTGTAGTTTTTCGTTAGGCCAGGCAGCATATAAATTCTTGTCAAACTTTAATAAGCCTAACTGCAGCGTAGAGTGCAACTTGTGCAGTGCTGGGTGGCGAAGGGAAATATGATAATGATTTATTAAATTGGTCGTATCTTAACGGGTCATTTATACATCTTGGTTTACAGCTAAATCTAAGTAGCCATAATTTGGGGTTTCACCACTTGCTTTACACATCATTTTTTTCAGTTTTTGAATATTCTTGGGATTTAAAAAAAGTAATAAATGAGTGAATGTAGTAATTTGGTCTATACTTTGATTACAGGTTGATGTATTTCTTTAAATAATTAGTTGTGAGACTGTAATTTATGAACGACCTTTGAGTGGCGCTAGAACGACCTTGAGAGTGTCCAACAGAACCAAATGAGAGTTACAAACCAGTGTGAGGAATTAGAATAATGATTTACAGTTGATAGCTAAGGTCAGGAATTAGATTTAAAGTTTTCATTACGAATCCACATCAGCTATAGTGCCAAAACTCTATTTAACCAAATGGATGAGAGAATCTCGTGCCAAAACCCGAAACTTTTTACCTTACGTCTTTCTCTTGTACTATTCATTTCGGTCCTGGTTTCCTTTTTAGCAACGTTACATAATCAACTATCAGCGAGAAAATCTCAACTTTAGAAAAATAAGATTTTAAACTTGTATTAAAAAATTCTCTACCCAATTCAAACGTATCTTACGGAAGTCACAATTACTTTTATTGGTTGGTTATTTTAATTAAACTATTATTGTCTATAAATAAAACACCAATATTCAAGTACATTGCATACACATACAAAATAATCATATAAAAACATGAAAATCTTCACAAAATAGAAATATTAATAGTGAGGTTCACTTCAAATTTTAAATAAAAGGTAGTTAAATAAACATCAATTTATAAATTTGAGAAAAAAAGCAATTCCTTGTTACGTAAGAAGAAGACAGCAAAAGAAAGAAAGTAAAAGAATACTTCATAGAGAATATTCTTCTAGAATAGCATACAATACTGGAAATTAAAAGTAAAAAGAAAACCATATAAAGCACTTACATATCAGTATAATGAATAATATATAACAATGTTCAAGTACAAGAAGTACCTTGAAAAAGTGCATAAAAGTAAATTAAGTTAAAAAAAAAACTTTTTTTTTACTTTCGAAC